CTCCAAGCCTCCCCCAGCCTGTCCCTCACTCCCCTTGCAGGCATACTGTGACATGGAGACGGACAGAGGGGGCTGGACCATCATCCAGCTTCGTGCCAACGGCAGCCTCAGCTTCCAGAGGAGCTGGAGGGAGTACAAGCAGGTGTGTGCCTGACCGGGGAGGGGGACAACACCCCGGGGCCCCCCAGGCACCCTGAACTCACCCACCCTGCTGCTCCACAGGGCTTCGGGGACGCGTCGGGGGAGTACTGGCTGGGGAATGAGGCCGTGCACCTGCTGACCAGCCGGGTGCCCTACACCCTGCGGGTTGAGCTGCAGGACTGGGAGGGCAGCCAGGTGTATGCCCACTACGGGAAATTCCAGCTGGGGAGCGAGCGGCAGTTCTACAGGTAGGGGAGAGGCACCCAGCACTTCCCATCTCTGACCGCCCCCAAGCACTGTGGCCAGGGGGAAGGGCTGGGTGGGGTGCCCCAGGGAGGTGCAGGATCACCCGGGGCTTCACTGGGTTGTCCTGGTGTAGTTATGGTGCTAGGTGCCAGGCACATTGCAGTGACGCTTTCATCTCTCCCTGGGCTTCTGAGAAGTAGATTTTTAATGTATAAAATTGCATCAATGCAGTGGGATTTGCCATCCCAGTGGGAGCAACTTGGGCACTTGCACTGAGGTTCTTTGTTGGTGCAAGGGAGGTGACACAGCTGTGGCCACCAGGCATTCCCAGGGGTGTTGGGCATCCCCAGGCTGTCCACGTCCACGAAGGGATGCTGTGCTCCAAATGCTCAGCTTGCCATGACCATGTGCTCCTAGCCATGGGCAGGAGGGTGAAAAGCAAGTGGGGGCCTTCACTGCTGGGCTGGAGGTGGAACCAGACCCCAGACATCCCCAGCACCATCCATCCCATGCACGCACCGAGCTGACCCCAGCAAGAGGACTGGAGGAGACTTGGGGGTCCTCTCTGCCCCAGCATATCACAACTCCCACTCTTAGAGGCCAAGGACAGGAGGCCAAGTTGGAGCTGCAGATCTCTGCCCACATCCCTCTGTGCTGTGTTCAGCTCATGGCAGCCCCTGAGCAGTGCTGGGGGCTCTGTGACCCCCCGGCAGTGACAGTGGCTGTGTTCCTGCCGGGCACAGGCTGTCGCTGCAGGACTACAGTGGCACTGCTGGGCAGCAGAGTGGCCTGGCACTGCAGGGCACCCAATTCAGCACCCGTGACGCCGACAACGACAACTGTCTCTGCAAGTGTGCCCAGATGCTCTCGGGAGGTGAGTGAGGCAGGGGGACAGCCCCATGCGGCACCCATGGGTGCCAGCCTGCGATGCCACCTTCCCGCCCTTCTCCCTTCCTACAGGATGGTGGTTCGATGCCTGTGGCCTCTCCAACCTGAATGGCATCTACTACCCGGCCCGGAACAACATCCGCAAGCTCAACGGCATCCGCTGGCACCACTTCCAGGGGCCCAGCTACTCCCTGAAGGGCACCCGCATGATGATCCGGCCCACCAGCTTCTAACGTGCCCGTGGCAGTGCCAGCTCTGAGAGCAGTCCGGGACAAGGGATGGTTGGGAGCAGCTAGGATGCCCCACCTGCTGCAGGGAACCTTTACCATGAGTATATTTTTTATTCTCATTTATCCCATTTTTCAGAAGTCTGCAGTGTCACCACCGCCATGCTGGAGGAACCGTGGGCAGGGCTGAAGGGCGCTGCAGGAGATGGAGCTGCAGGAGCTGGAGTGGGACAAAGCCAGACCTGCCAACGTGGGCTCCAGCTTATGGAAACCCTCTGATCTCACCTCAACTTCTCTCCCCAAATTTCTGCTGGGCCTCAGAGTTCTTTCCTGGGGACAGGGCTCCAAAACCCCACCCAGTTATGGGGCTCTGAGAACCCCTGGGACCATGTGCAGTGAGAGGGACCCCAGACACGAGGTGGGCTTTGCCTTTTCACTAATTTTGGATATTGTAAATCCCCCACCATCCCACTTTCCTGCAGGATTAGAGGAGCTGGATGGGACAGGAATCCCAATAAGCGGGGGGGCTGGTGGTGTCCCTCCTTCACCTTTTATTCAGACACAGCCATGCAGAGGGCCACAGGCCGCCCCCTTCCAAACACGGCCCGAGCCACTGTCCCCATGTATGGCAGAACAGGCAGTGCTCCTCACGGAATGGAGCTGGGTTTCTCCAGCTCTCAGAGAGGACAGGAAGAGCAGAGGGAACCTTGGGGACCTTCCTGGGGACCAGTCCTGGGATGGCCAATGGCCCAGTTCTGGAAGGAGCAGGCACTGCAGTGGCAGGGGCTGGCAGGGCCCCAGGATTGGCAGGAAGGGGCTGGGGGGTCGTGGGTGGGGAGGGGGCTGTGGGTTAAAGGGGCTGGGAGGTGGAAGGTGCTGGGTGCTGGCACCGACACCGGCTGTGCACGCAGCAGCGGGGGGCTCCTGCTGCCTGCCCTCATCACTGTCCCGAGGCACCCGCTAATTAACGCTGATTAAAGCACGTGACGTTGTTGGCGCTTCCAGAAGATGCTCATCAGTGGGGAATAATTAAAAAATGGAAAACATGGGGGGCGGTGCTGCCAGTTTTCCTTCTGTCCTGGCTGCCTGCCTGCACCTCCTGCCTGCACATGGGGCACCCATGGGGAATCTCAGCACAGAGGGTGATGGACATTTCCCCGGCTGTCCCTCTTCTCTGGAAATAACTGATGGCCTCAGCTGTGCTCCCCACGAAACTGGAGCCACCGGGAAGCAGCTGCCAGGGAAAGTGATAGGCAGTGTGGGGCTGTCCTGCTGTCCCCAGCGGGGACATGCAACGGGGGGGCATTCTGGGGTGTCTGAATGTGTCTGTGCCAGGGTTTCACGCTGGCAGTCCCATGGTTGGGGGTCAGATGGAGACTCCTGGTTCGGGAACAAGGCTGCTGTGTGTTCATCTGTGTGTGCACATCAAAATGCTGCTCAGAAACGTGTGCACGTGGACACACAGACATCCTGCATGCACAGGATCATGCACACATGAGCACACTGGGCTTTGGATGGCCATGTCGGGTCCCAGTCATGCAGGGCATGGGACACCAGAGCTGCACCAAGGACTGGCAGCACCTAAGGGACATGTGGCTGCTCAGCCCTTGCCTGGCTGGGGACTGGTGCCCCCCCCTTTCTCCTTAGCAATAGCAACAAATTTAGACCAAGCCCTGGGACACACCACACCGAGGAATCCGGCAGCACAGCCGGTCCCAGCCACCAGCCAGGATCTGGTTCCCTCAGAGATTTCCCCAAGGGCAAAGCCTGTCCCCAGGCGAGTGCCCTGGGTCCCTGTCACCCTCTGGTTTCCGGGGTGTTTTCCTTGGGGAGGCACCCAGTGTCCCATGTGCCGTCATTAAGGATCCCCTGGGTCTGTGTGTCTTCCTCAGAGCACTTAATCAGCCTGACTCACAGCCAGATGCCATCCTCATGTCCTGTCACCACGTCCTGACACCACATCCTGCCCTCCACATTCCCGGCAGCCGGACCTGACAATAACCCAGCAGAATTCACGTGGATCCTGCACCCTAAGCAGGGGATCTGTGTGGACACACAACAGTGCAGAATTCAAGCTGGGGTGGCAAATTCATCTTTATGACAGCTTTTCTGGGGACCCCAAGTGCTGGATGGAAGCCCCAGTCAAGGGGCCCATGGTGCTGTTGTGGCCAGCAGCTGCTGGGGGGCTGCCACTGAAGGGAGGCTGCGGCAGGCCCGGGTTCAGGTGGGGTCCCTGGGTGCAGGTGCTTGCTGGTGGTTTTAATGTCACCTTCCCCAGCAGACACATCAGGAGCATGGGGACCACGGGGCACAAGTGGCACCTGAGGTGCAGGGAGAGCTGCGGTGCCATGTGAGGCTGCCCTGGGAGAACACACGGGTGCTTTTCATCTTCAAAGCGCTCCCTGCTCCAGCTTTCATCCCAGCCCACCTGGGAGGTCTCTGCTATTGCCACCCCCATCTCCCAGCTCTAGGAGAGCCGGGACCTGGCCAAGCTTTGCAGGAGGGAGGGAAGGAGGCAGGGGAGGGTGCATGGCACAGAGGGGAATCCCAACAGCTGGAGCTCTGCCGGGACCTGCCCGACCCAGCCGCCGCCCTGCCATGCCTGCCGGGCCCCGCGCTGGCACGCTGCAGTATGGAACCCATGATTCCCTTCCAGCACCCATCCACTCAGCACCCACAGCCCTGCAGAGCTACAGGCACCCCAAGAGTCCCTGTCCCACCCCAACCTCCACCGCCCCAAAAGACAACACACAGCCTCCAAAACACAGGTATTTAATAAAACTGGCTGCATTATAATTATTATTATTTACAGATCAAACGTAAGGAAAAGAGTAGAAAAAAGGAACTGTTCTCTTCATAAATACCAGGCCCAGCAAGGTGGGGGCTTCTTGCCCACTGGCAGCCGGGGAGGGGAACACAGGCATCTGCAGACACACAGACACACAGCCCTGGGCAGCTTGAAGCAGGGGGTCAGGTTTCCCCCTCACACCTCAAAGCACCAAGGCTTTTCTTCAGCAATAAGATGGGACCACCAGGATGTGGCCACCACCCCAGGCAGTGGGACCCCTTCCGTGGAGGCTGCAAGGGGGCAGCTCCTTCACCAGTGCAGTGTCCCAGCTCCGTGCAGGGGGAACCAGCCCCTTGCACCCCACCCTAGGGTGCTGGTGAGGAGCAGGACAGGCAGGAGCTGCCAGCAGTGCAGGCAGGGCAGCCACACGAGGCCCTGTGGGTGTTGAGGACCAGCCACACACCCAGGGGGACACGTGTCCTCTGCCTTCCCACGAGCTTGCAGGGACCTGGCACAGTGGTGGCACAGGGGTCTGACAATGGATCCCTGGCCACATCAGGCCAGTGATGCTGTGGCACAGCAGGGCTGAGTTCAAGGGTCCTGTCACCACCAAAAGGTCCCTGCTCCTCGCAGGGCACAGCCAGCGCTTTGTCCCCATCCAGCGTTGCCCACTTATGAGCGGCCCATCCCCGGTGCCCACCACGGCACTGCTACACATCGGAGACCTGCTGGGGCTCCCTGGCCTGGCGCAGCCCGTAGAGCCACTTGATGACACGGGCGTTGCGCTCGATGATGGAGATGCCGTAGGGCACACGCTCCGCCGGCCGCCCCTCCGGCGTGGCGGCGCTGGGTGGCGAGTGGCCGCCCTCCGAGCTGGCCGTGCTCACGCTGTGGAACTTGAGGGACACGATGTCAGAGCTGGCGCGGGCGAAGCGCTCAGCCCCCATGTCCTGCATCTCCTCGGGGTCAAGGCCGCAGTAGTTGAAGAAGCGCTCCAGGTCGGCGGTGGCCCTCGAGAGCCGATCGCTCAGGTCCGACTTGGAGCGGTGCAGCAGCGGCTGCCGGCGGGCGCTCTCCGGGCGGGCGGGTGAGCTCCGGGACGGGGTCACAGGCAGCCCACCTGGGATGGGGGATGCAGGCAGAGGTGTCACTGGGCTCCGCGGAGCTCCACAGGGACGGACGTCCACCCTCCGCACGGCCACACTGCCGGGGGGCTTGGTGGTGGCCGGGCTCTCCGGTGGCTTGACAGCCCCCTCCACCTCCGGCGCTTCCGCCCGCCACCTGCACTCCCTGCCCAGCGGGCTCTCCGCCTTAGGGAAGGGGCTGTCGCAGAGGTTGATGAGGTTGTTGAGGATCTCCAGGTCAAGGGAGGTCTTCGGGCTGGCAGCATCGGCGCGGCGTGGCCCCGGGGGTGCCCTGCGGCTGGGGGTGAGCACAGCCCGGCGCACCCCGGCGGTGAAGAGGGGCTGCTTGAGCAGCAGCGGCTTCACCGGCTCCTGCTTGGTGCTGGCGACCTTCTGGCTCTTCACGTACTTGGCCTTGTCGGCCTCCAGCCTCTCCACTGCGCTGGGCTTCCCGGCCCCCGGCTCGGCGTGCCGGCGGAAATACGCGGGCCCTTTGCGGAGGATACGGACGGGCATGGCCGAGGTGAAAGGCGCCGTCACCGTCACCCCCTTCATGGTGTCACCGGCTTGCAGCGCCTCGACGGGCATCCTCCGTGCCGCCACCGGGACACGCGTGAGCGGCCGCCACGGGCAGCGAGGGGCTCAGGTGCCGTGGGCTGCGGAGCGAGAGCGGGGCCGGAGTGAGAGCGGCGGCGATGCTGCCCCTGCCCGCGCCCCGGCCCCGCGGCAGACAAAGACAGCCCGGGCCGTGCGGTACCGCACTCGCTGCGCCCCCGGCTCCAGGCTGCCTATTTGAAGGCGGTCACCACGCCTCCGCCGCTGCCGAGCCTCCCCGACAAGTGCCGCGGCCAATCCGCGCCGCACGCCTGCTTCAAACCGCACCGGGCCAATGGCGCCGGCGGGGAGGGCGCCCCGGTGCCGGCGAGGGGCACCCTGCGGAGACAGTGGCGCGGAGAGAGCCAAGAACCCCTCACTGATGCTCTGCCCAAGTCGCAGGTGCCGGGGGTGCATTGCATGTGCCCATCGTCCATGCTCAGGGGCGCACTGCTCACATCCAGGGGGGCAAGTCCTTCTCCCAGGAGTGCATCGCCCACTCCCAGGGGGCGATTGCACCCAAGGGTGCCTCATCTACATCCTTGCATCACCCGTGCCCAGGGCTGCGTTGCCTGCTCCCAGGCGTGCATCCCCCATGCCCATGGCTCCATCACCCACCACCCCGCCGGGCTGGTGGGCTCGATGCTCCACTCCCCTCTGCTGTTCCCTCAGCTCTCGCAAGCTCCGCGGCTGCTCCCAGGCTCCCTGCTCTCATCCTGAAACTCCTTGGAAAGTAAGTGGAGTGCACGGGGCTTTCCACTCGTGCTTCCCCGGCCGCGGTGTGCTCGGGGCAGCGTGAGGCCCTGTGCACCCCGTGTCCTTGGGTCCCTGCCAGCCCCAACAAGCGCAGCCGCCACAACGGCCGCACAGAGGCACCAGCCCGCCCACAGCAAAAAGGTGGGGGAGGGCACCCAAACCAGCCCCACACCCTTCTGCAGCCCCCTGACCAGAGATGGACACACCAAGAGTATCCCCGATACCCAGAGGGGCTCAGCAGTGGCAGGGAACACAGGAGCATATGTGGGTCAGACCCCCTCCCCCAACCCCTTTCCAAGCTGCTCTGAGATTCCTCCTGAGGGTCCCGATTTGGGGCACCGATGAGCCCGAGGGTGTGGCAGCAAGCCCCAGCACTCACCAGGTGCAGTGGTGGGCAGGGCAGAGCCGGTGTGCTGTGGCCTCACTCGCTCCCGTGGCAGCGCCAAGCAGGCAGCTGCCACCTTCACCCGCTCAACCTGCGTGCACAAACTTCCTGGGAGCAGCTCAGAGCCTATCCCAGCAGCAGGAGCAGCCCAGAGCCTCTCCCAGCAGCACCCAAAGCCCTGCCGAGCCGTGGCTGTCTGCATCCCCTACCAGCCCACGGGTGCCAAATTCCCCAGAATCTGGACCCCAGCAGGATCCCTGCACAGCACACATCCCTGTGACACGCTGTGACAGACGAGTGGCCATGGGGGAGGCTGGCTGCCCCTCTCCCCATTCTCGTCCCCTGCCTTGGGGGGACATGCTGCCTCCTGACCTGGAAAATGTCTGCAGGGGGGCGGCCAGGCGTGTGACAGCTGGGAATGGTCCCAGCACCGGCACAGATCCTCCTGCCTCCTCCCCGGGGCAGCTTTCTGCACCCCTCTGCCCTACCCCTCAGGTCCCGTGCTGCTCCACCCCTGTGCCAGCTTCACTGCCCTTGTGTCTGTGCCCAGCACAGGGAGGGCTCCCCGGTTCAGCACAGGGGTGCAAGAGTGTCCCCCAGGCAAGGCAAAGCGGGAAAATGTCCACACGTCAGGCACTGGAGATCAGCCTTGTACCAGACACTCAGCCAAGCCACAGAGAAGATGGCTGTGAAGTTTAGGGACAAGGTCATGGGAGCCCCAGCACAGCTGCCAGTGGCCGGTGTGGGGACCCCTCCCCAGCACGGCCAGCCCGGCCAGGCACAACCTGCTGCTCCACATTCCTGCAGTGCTGAGCCACTGCGCTGGCACGGCCACACCGAGCTGGGCTGCACCGAGCCAAGCTGAGCCGAGCGGAGCCGCCCTCCCAACAGCCCCAAAAACTCGGCAACAAACAAATCCCATGCCCCAAACCCAGCTGGAGTGCGGGGATCCGAGCTCTGGGCATTGCCCAGTGTGGCCCCAGCTCCTCTCCCTCCTGGGGTGGGCAGTCCAGCCAGGCTCACATGGCACACCAGGCCACCTCCTGCCTGGAGGAGCTGCTCCAGAGGTGCACGGTTGTGACCCCTTCACCGGTTCACCCAGCCCCACTCTGCTGCCACTGGACCAGCACGAGACCATCACCCCCTCTGCCACCCACCTGGATTGGCCCTGCAGCGCGGGAGCCTCGTTGGCAAGGATCAGCTGCCACACTTCTTCTCCCTGCTCTTTCCGAGGATGTCCTGATGGTGTCCTGATGTCCCCAGCCTCCTGCTCCCCAGCCACGTCCTGCCCGTCTCCCCGCGTGCTGGCGGCTGCAGGGTGCCGGAGCGGTTCTGCATGCGGCGCCTGCCGCTGAGTCAGCGCCGGGCGAGGACGCCCTCGGAGGCAACTCAGCGCTCACACGGGATGGAAACCACAGGGCATTCCTGCGTGCCAGGCTGTGCCACGCAGCGTGAGGTGTCTGGTGACCTCCCAGGTGCCGGTTCAGCCCGCGGTGCCGGCTGGGCAGCCTGGATACACACACGGCCCGAGATGCTCACAGTGACAAATCCAAAATGCTTCTGGATGTCACAGCTCGCTGTGGGCAGAGGGTCCTTGTGCTGGGTTAGGGCTTCAGGGACACGGAGGAAATTCCCAGCCTTCCTGTGGGCACCCAGATTCCCTCATATCAGTGGTATGGTCAGTTGGCAGGGCCTGCTTTGATTTGGAAATCTCATCTTGTTTCTCCACTCACCCAGCAGCAATAAACTCCAAAACATAGGAAAATAAACTGGGTAGCAGGAAGGGAAGTGACAGACTGGAACAGGGTCACCAAGCCTGCAGCCACCTGGACCTGCTGGCCTGAACCCAGCCCCAGGGTGGCTCCTGCCCCATGGTTCAGGCATCTGCATTCAGCTCTGCACAGAGGGAACAAGCTTTTGGCTCATGCTGTGGAGCTCAGTTACAGCCCTGCATTGTTCAAATGGCTCCTGGAGCAAGACAAGGAGCTGGTGGAGGGAGAAGAGCCAAGGGAAGCTCAGAGTCTGCCCTGAGCCCAGATTTGCACAACGGGCTCAGCTAGAAAATCCCAGTTGGTAGGCGAGGGCAGAGCCCGCAGGCTGCGTCCCCCCACAGGCGCCGAGGCTGTGCGGGTGCAGGCAGGAGGCTGCAGGAGCTGCTCGGGCACGTCTGGCCCGTTGGAGCGGGGCGTTGGATCCAGGCAGCGACCCAAGCCTCGCCCTCCCCGGGAGCATCCCGGGACATGCCCCGGGAGGACAGCCTCCTGCAGGAATGCTCCTGCAGCACCCGGTGCAGCATCCACACCGCTGCCCAGGAACACATGGACGGTGTTTGTGAGCAGAGGGACAATGAGGCACTGGCAGTGCCTTTGCTCTCACCTTCTACAGACACCCTCGTGCCACTGCCAGGACCTCTTGGATGGTAAATTAAGCTGCCAATGAGCAGAAAACAAACTCAGCACCCAATTCCCCACGTGGAAGTGCTGGGTGGAGGCAGCTAAGGGCGCCTGGCAACACCTGCCAAGCTGCAGGGCTAGGGCTCGTCACTTTGCATGGGCAAAGGCATCCCCAGAGCTGAGAGATCCCCAGCCTCTTCATCTTGGGTGCTTTATTGCAGCCTGTTGCCATGCCCTGACCCAGGATAAGCCACCACTTGCTCCTCCCTCAGTTTCCCCAGCAAGAGCTCTACAGAGCTACTCTAGAAGGAACATGGGGACAGAATGGGGAAGCACCCGCTGCACCCAGCATCACCCCATTCCCTGTGGGCAGAGGGAATGATGCTGCCCGCACCCGGATGTTCACACTCCGTCTCTGCTCAGGGATCCGGGAGCCAGGGAGGTGACAGATGGGGACATGCTGGGCACAAGGCCTTTGTCTGGCCGGTGGTGGCGGCGGCACAGACCCGCAGATGGCGGCTGCCGTGGGGCCGTGGCCGCAGCCCATGGCCAGGCAAGCACTGGGCCCTGGGGATCCGGCCCTTTTGTTGAGGTCTCACCTCCGGCAGCAGCCCCTTCCCTGCTGCCCCCACCAGCCTTTCCACTTTCAACTTGACCTGCTCCTTTCACATGGAAATGGATGCAAATAGGGCTGAGGCTGCCAGGGTCCAGGCTGAGACCCGGCAGCAGGTCCCCAAGTCTGGGGGGGACATACCCTCTCAAATAGGGTGGCCAGTAGTCCCTGGAGTGAGGGGGTCCCCTTGTCCCCCCATGGAGTAGCAGCCACCCTCTGCCCAGGCAGACCATCCCCACTGCTCACACATGGAAGAAGATATTAGGGGATGGGTCTCACTAGGGCTGAGCTCAAGGACAGACCTCTGCTTTTCTGGGCTGCCAATCTTCCCGTGCCCTCCTGCCACCCTGTTACTCCCATGGCGTGGGCAGTGTGCCCACCCCGGGAATCCGCTCTGCACCCCCTGGCATGCGCTGGCTTGCAGTTGGGATGGGCTCCCCAGCCCTGGCTGGGTGAGGAGGGGGCTTCCTGGAGGGATGGTCATCACAGCCCAGCCAAGTCCCGCAGGCAGGGACCACTCGGCTACCAAATGTTGCCATCTGCTCCGGGGCCTTCGCTCGCATCTGCCGGGGGTGCGGAGGGGCGAGGGGCCGGGGGGCCGGGAGTTCAGCTGGGGGGCGGGCAGGGGGCGGGGAAGGCACAGGCAGCACGCATCGCGTGGATTTGGGTGAGTAGCATGAAGGGGCAACACGGAGGTCCCACACCCAGCACCCCGTCGAGCTGCCTCTGCCCTGTAGCCATTCACCCTTGGGAAGGGTCTCACTGCCGGCTGAGCCGCCTCTTTGTGCCGACAAATTAAACACAGGACAATTGCTGTCCCCTCCCTGTCCCCATGCCCATGGACACACAGTGGCCTCAGCTGCCCTGTGCCTACCCCAGGCTCTCTGCGCCTGGTTTTCCAGCACCTTGCACCTGCTCCCCACCCTCCAGGCACCCCGGGGTCCTGTACTGGTTTAACTGGGATAGAGGTCATTCTGCCCACAGTGACAGGACTGTTTTGGAGTTGTGGTGACAGCAGTACTGATAACCCAGGAGTGTCTGATCTTGGCTGAGCGATGTTCACAGAAGCCCCAAGGACTTCTCTGCTCCTCCCACTGCCCCACCAGCGAGTGAGAGTCCTGGGGGTGCATAGAAATTTGGAGGGGATGTGGATGGAACAGTTTTGCCACTCCCCCTCCCCCCCCCTGCCCTGGGATACCCTGGATTTATAGGACATCCTTGCTTTTCCTATTAAGCTGATCCATCAGTTTAGTCCCTTTTACCATTTTATCTTTCCCATTTTGTACCCCGTACCACCGGGGGTGTGTGTGTGGGTGAGAAGCTGAGGGGGTCTAAACTGCCTGCTGGGATTAAATCACAGCAGTACCTCAAACTGTGACCATGCCCCTCCAGTGTCACCCAGTATCTCTGCAGCCCCGGGGACAAGACTTGAACCCACTACACCCAACGTCTGCCATGGGCGCTCCCACAGGCGCAGGGCAGGGTGGAGGAGCAAACTGTAGTCCCCGGGAGGGACAGGGACAGGGACAGGGACAGGGACAGGGACAGGGACAGGGACAGGGACAGGGACAGAGACAGGTAGGGGCACTGCAGATAGGCGGGGCAGGGAAGCAGGCAGGGAAGCAGACGGGAAGAGGCAGCCCCAGGTTTTGCAGGGCTGCAGCCCGCTCTCCCAGCGACACCCGGTGGGTGCTGGGGGAAGAGCTGCCATGGTGGTGGGTCCTGGCTTGGGAGAGGGGGGATTGCTGCTGGGGGTGACCGGGGGTCTGTCTCCTCACCCGTGTCTCCTCCCGACCGGTGCAAGTGGCTCATCCGCCGGCTCGCGGCTTGGTCCCCGCAGTGTCCCGAGGTGGGACAACTGCCACATTCGGACGTTCCCCCAGCGCCCCGTGCCAAGCCGTGAGCCCCGCAGAGATCCCGATGGGGACGGGAACCGCCATCGGGTGACACTTGCACCTGCAAGAAGAGTCTGTGATAGCTGGGACGCAGTTCAGGCGGGGACAAGGACAAAGTCCAGGACACCGCCGAGAATAATAACCCCCCAGAGCTGCGGACTCTGCCAGCCGGGACCAAGACGAGGAGCAGAGCAGGGCCAGGCTGACACCGGTCCGCATCCGGAGGTGGTGACGCGCCCTCCTCACGTCACGGCTCCGGCAGCCAGGACTGGCTCCCGCCCGCGTGGTGCGGCCGGTTCCCCAAAGCGCAGTGAGTTACCCTTGGGAGCTTGCCGAGGGACCGGTCAGACCGGAGCCCGTTTCCTTCCCGGCTCCCGCTGCCAGCCCGGTGCCTCCCCGCGGCGCCGGAGCCATGGCTGGGTCGCTGCGCCCGCCGGGCTCAGCCCCGTGAGACGTGAGTTTCCTCTTGCGGCCTCAGCGCTCCGGGGAAGGGCTGGAAACGGCTCTGCGGGACCGGGAGGGCTCGGAACGTAGGGACACGGGACGTGAGAGTTCCTCCCAGCAGCGGGATGGGAGCGGGCAAGGGATGTGTCCGGAGCCCAGCTGACTCAGCTGAGTGGTACGAGAGAGGCTGGGCTGCAGGCTGCGCTGCTGGGGCCTGGCGCCCGCGGCCAGCGGAGCGCGTCGGGATCGCGCAGCTCCTGACTGGAAGGGCACGGGAGCTGCGTCCTCCTGCCCTGCAGATGCAGTGGGAGGTACGAGGCGTCCGTTCCCAGCAGAGCAGCTGCCCAGACCTCTCAGCACCCAGGTGAGAGCCCTCTTCCCCCTGCACCCGGCTGTGCCGAGCCCTTCCAGGCTTCACGGAACTGCAACGTGAGCTGGCACAGGTTCAATGCCCTCCTGGGTACCACACCTGGTGTTGCCAAGCCTCAGGTCTCCGGGATGAAACCAGGTGAAGCTCATCAGGATCCACACCCAGGGCAGGAGGGCACCATATCTTCACGTGAAGGGAACAGAGGGGTCCACAGGGCTGCAGAGGGCAAAGTGGGGCTGGGCTGGGCTGTGCGTCCCACACCCTCGTGGCACGTAGGAGGGAAGCTGTTTTGCAAAACAGGCAGTGGTCATGGGAGGACAGGGCCAGGATCTGGAAGGGTCAGTTCTTACCTCACCACTCATCAAAGTCTCTCCCCACAGCACAGCACCATCACTCGCAGGCCCAGGCACCCAGCCCCGAGCCATGGCACTGCTCACCCACATTCTGGCCTGTGCCTTCGGCATGGGCTCCTGGGTGGCCATCAACGGGCTGTGGGTGGAGCTGCCACTGCTGGTGACGGTGCTGCCGGAGCAGTGGTACCTCCCCTCCTACATCACCGTCATCATCCAGATGGCCAACGTGGGACCACTCTTCGTCACCCTCTTGAATCGCTTTCGGCCTGGCTTGCTGAGGGAGGAGGTTGTTATCTATATAATCGTGTCCATGGGTGTCATAGCCTGCTTGCTCCTGGCTTTCCTCTGGAGCCACACATCTGTCATTGCCGGAACATCCCACAGCATCCCCTTCCTAATCCTTACCTTCTTCCTGGCCCTGGTGGACTGCACCTCCTCTGTCACCTTCCTGCCCTTCATGATGCAGCTGCAGCCCCAGTACACAAACACCTTCTTCATAGGTGAAGGGCTAAGTGGGCTGATCCCTTCTCTCATTGCCCTGGGCCAGGGCTCTGGTATCTCCAGCTGCACCAATGTAAGCTACAAGGTCAACATCACCACTGGCAATGAGACCGTGGAGAGCACCATCTTCCATATGGAGAGCCGCTACCTCCCACCCAACTTCTCCACCCTCATCTTTTTCCTGCTCATGACTGCAATGATGCTGACCTGCTTGCTGGCCTTCTTCTTCCTCACCCGGCAACCCAAGGTGTGGGACCTCTCTCAGCAGCACCTCGTTCCCAGCAGCATTGTGCTGAACTCATTTGACCAGATTCTTGACGAGGGAGCTGACTCGCACCTGAGCAGAGGATGTCCATGTCCAAAGGATCCCAAGGGACCTGGGGACATCCTGACACAAAAGATCTCCTACTCCTTAGCCCAGCTCACCCTCATCTACCTCCTCATTGCCTGGGTGAGCGCCCTAACAAACGGGGTCCTGCCATCCGTGCAGTCCTACTCCTGCCTGCCCTACGGACACACCACGTACCACCTGGCAACCACGCTCAGCTCCATGGCCAACCCCCTGGCCTGCATCGTGGCCATGTTCCTGCCCAGCAGGTGAGTTACAGGGCCCTGGGGGTGGCAGCAGGGTGCACACCAGGGGCTTCTGCCCCATGAGTGGCCCCTACTTTGCAAGGGTCGGGGTTGTAGGCACTGGGTGGGAGAGGGCCTGTGGGGTGTCCATGCCCTGGCAGCACAGACAACCCAGGAAAGGAGGATGGAGCCAGCAAGGAGCTGGAATGTGCTGCGTGTCTGTGCTGCTCACCAGGGAAAGGTTCTCCAGTGACACTCACATGTCCCTTGCAGGTCCCTGACCCTGATGGTCATCCTCACTATGGCAGGGACAGGCTTTGGTGCCTACAACATGGCCATCGCAGTGATGAGTCCCTGCCCACTCCTCCAGCAGTCCCAGTGGGGCGATGTCATCATCGTAAGTCACGTTGTCCCTCTCCCTCAGGGAGGCCTTTGATGCCACACCTGGACCTGACCTCACCGCAATGTCCCCACTGTGGGGAGCCCCTGGCCCTGACCACTTTTCCACCTGTGCCACCAGGTCCTCTCCTGGGTGTTGTTCACCGGGACACTCTCCTACATGAAGGTGATGGCCGGGGTGATCCTGCGGAGCCGCAGCCACAGCGCGCTGGTGTGGTACGGGGTGCTGGAGCAGCTGGGCTCCCTCCTCGGGGCACTGATCATGTTCCCCCTTGTCAACGTCTATGGCCTTTTCAAATCTGCTGACTACTGCAGCCTGCAGTGCCCAGCATGAGTGGGGTGGACGCCCCAAGACCGCTGCTCTTGCCAACATGAACTCCCAAAATCAGCGAGGCTGGCTGGCTGGGAAGCAGCGCTGGGACCAGGATGGCTGCAGACACAGCTCCCTGATGGGCTCTGCCAGGATGCAGGATTTCCAGGGCTTTGTCCCCAGCCTGGGCACGGGTTGTTCCATCCTGTGAAAGCAATAGAAGGTGTTTTACTCAGTCCTCTGCCTCCCTGCTGCCTGCACCCCCCATGTTGAGGGGGCTGTCTGTGCCAGTGCCCCCCACCTGGGTACCTCTCAACTGGGGCTATGCCCAGTCCCTTCCCCTGGGGGATCTGGCACGGTTTGGCATCATGCCCTGAAGCCCCCCTGGACTCTGTGGGTGGGCACAGCCCCAGCTGCACCCGGCAGCGCCGGTGGCGTTCCTGGCCCTGTGCTGTGGCAGCTGCCCCCAGACAGGGGCTTTGCAGCCGGCTGGGGGGAGTGGGGACAAAGGTGGCTGTGGGGAGGGGGATGGTGGGGGAACACGGAACATTCACAAGGCCCCCAGTAGCAGCTGGGGAAACTGAGGCACAGTGGGACTGGAGTGACGTGTGATATTTTCCACTCTCTGCTGTGGTCCCATCCATGCTTTCTGCTCCCTCCCCACAGCCCTTTTCCCCGCTGCACCCCATTTCAGCCCTGCTGAACCTTGAGGTGGGCAGAGCTGGATGGGGGGGGCCGCAGCAGAACCTCGCACCAGAGCAGTGCACGCAGAGGGCCCGTGGCAGGGGTGGCACAGCACCAGTGCCAGGCTTGACCCACCTGGTACCTAACCGTGCCCCAACCATGCCAGCCAGGGCAGGGCCGAATGGACGCTGGGACATGGCAGGCACGGGAGGTCAGGCAGCGGCAGCCCCGGGGTGGGACAGCACCGTGCCCTGCACGCGCCTGCGCCCCTTCCCTGGGGCACGAGGCAGCCGGGCCTTTGTCCCCAGCCCTTTGTCTGGCATCTGCTCCCTGCGCCGGCGGCAGCACCAGACCACGGATTGGAGCCACTTCGGGGCTCCGGCTGCGACCCGGGTGCCTCTGGGAAGAACGAGATTGGAATACCTAATGGCCAGCAGCCCCCCAAGCTGGCAGTGGTGGGGGTCCTGCAGCTGAGGCAGCAGAGAGAGGCAGGAGTGGGGGCTCTGCCTCCTGGCACCAGTGGGCATCCTCTGGCAGATCCTGGCTGATCCCACAGCCCCTGTCCAGGATCCATGGAGGGTGGGGGAGCTGAGGACCGGTGGGAGATGTGGGGGCACCACCAGGCAGTTTGTCTCATTCCAGTAGCAGGATATGTCCCTTGTGGGTAGACTGGGAGCTGGAGTAAGGACCTAACCTTTCTCCTCCTGCCCCCCAAGAGGATGATCCTGCCCTTGGGAGCCCCCAAAACCCCTCACCCACAGTACCCCTGCAGCCCCCTCCCTCTTGTCGGGGAAACAATTGCCTCCGATGGGAATTATTTCCATACAGCTGCTCAGGAAGGCACAAACCCGGTGGAGGAAGGCTGAGCCTTTCTTCTGGCGCTGCTCCCCCTCCCCACAGTGGCGGGGGCAGGTTTGGGGGGGCCCAGGCGCTGCCGTCAGCGCTATCAGCTCGGCAGGGCTGGCTGCGGTTATTACCATACATTATCGCAGTCCCCTGCCTCCGAAAGGAGCCGGGGCTGCTCCCCCCTCCCAGCCCTCCCTCCTCCTGCCTTTTACACTTAATTACCTCCCTTATTACACCGCAGCCTGGAGAGAGACAAAATCCCAGGGCAGCGGGCAGGCAGGCAGCAGGCAGCGGGCGGGCAGCGGGCGGGCAGCGGGCAGGCAGCGGCAGGCAGGCCCAACTAGGGCGTAAGTAATCGCCCGTTCTGCAAGCGTGCCTTCCAGGGGAGAACAGGCACACGCACGGATAAATAAATCAGGGAGCGGAGGCCGGGAGCCCAGTGCGTGTGTGGGATGCCGCGAGCAGCCCGGCAGGCGATGTCCCCTCGGGGCCGCAGCCCTTCGGGAGAGGTGACCTTGAACTTGGCAGAGCCTTGACGTCAGGGCAGCGCTGCAGGGACAGATGGGACTCGTGGTGCTGCCGGCAATCCCTGGCCAAGCGCTGCGGGAACAAGTGGAGTGACCCCAGCCCACATGGGGAGCAGCCCTGGGATGCTGTAGGATGTGGAGTGCCGTGGATATGGGATGCTCGGGGATGGGGGATGCTGTGAGCTGTGGGATGCATTTAGCTGTGGAATGCTGTGGGATATCAGATGCTGTGCGATGCTGAGGGATGCTGTGGTCTGTGGGATGCTCTAGGCTGTGGAATGATGTGGGCTGTGAGATGCCCTGGGCTATGGGATACTGTGGGATGCTTTGGAATGCCCTGGGCTGTGGAGTAGCACACAAAGCAGTGAGCAGGGCACTGTGATGCAGGGCTGGCTCCAGATGTAGCTCTGGCATGACTGCAGTAGCAGACAAGGCTGCGAGCAGGCAGGCCCATGGTGCTGCCTGTGGGGACGCTGCTTTTGGTCCCCAAACCCAGTGCCACGTCCCTGGCCAAAGGGGCTAGTGTGCCCAGGGCCACCCCGTGCCAGCACTCTGCCTGTGGTGACTGCAGAGGGACCGTCTTTATTAAGTGCTGCAACACTCTGGGCATTGCACAGGGCTCAGGGAAAGCACGGCCAGCAGCCTGTCAGGTCCCCGTGTCACCCACTGGCCCTCAGATGGCAAAACTGCAGGGAAAGGCAGCCCCGGACCACCAGCTGCCTGCAGCGGAGCGCAGAGAGGAGGGGGGGAGTGGGAGTGGGGGCTCCAATGAGAGGAGGGGGGAGCAAGAGTGGGGCTCTGGTCGGGAACAATGAACTGCCACGAGCCCAGCTATTGTTGTGGCTCCGAAGGTCACAGTGCTTCCTGGGGTCTGGGAGTGGGACAGGGACATGGGAAGGGGAGAGAAGGTGGGAAAAAAGGGATGGGAACAGTGAGCAGGGATGGGGACAAGAGAGGTGGGATAGAGATGAGAGCAGGGAAGAGGGGAAAGGGTTGAGGAGAGAGAAAAAGGTACAGGGGAAGGGAGAAGGGAAAGAGAAAGGGGCCAGTGGAAAGGGTCTGTGGACCGAGATGAAAGCAAGGAAGATGGATGGGAATGAGAACTGGGAACAGGGATAGGAACAAGGAACAAGGACAAGGAAAGGAGAAAGGGACAAGAAGCAGGAACAGGGGACAAGGATGGAGACAAGACAAGGGACAGGGGACAGAAATGGGGCAGGGGACATGGATGGGGACAGGGATGGGGATGAGGACTCCTGCCCGGCAGACCCGTCCTTCCCTGGCCCCGGGGACTGGCGACAGGGAGACAAAGGCGGTGGGAGGCAAAGGCATGTGCCCCCCCCTCCCGTCCCGCCCCCCCCCCGTCCCCCTGTGTCCCCATTGTCCGTGGCCGGGGTGGGGGGAGGAACCAGGGGGAGGGACCAGGGGGGGCACAGTGTCGTGATGCCCGGGGCACCCCGCGCTACCGGCGGCTCGGGGGGCTCTGGGGGGGCTCCGGGCGCGGCCGGGCGAAGCGGCCCCC